CTGGCTAGGTTTTGTGGTGGAACATCAGGCTTACTATTTCAGGATTCTTCCCTTTGGGTTAAATCTAATTTCCCTTGAGTTTACCAGATTGGCATGGATGATTTTGTCCTGGCTGCACATTCTAAGGGTTTGTGTGCTTGCCTACCTGAACAACTGGCTGGTTTAGGTTCTCAATTGGTCCGCATGTCAGCAACAAAAGAATTTGTTTTTTTCCACCTCACCAGATTTGGGTTCTTGGTGAGCTGGCAGAGTCCCAGTTGGTTCCATCCAAAGTTCAACTTTGACTGGGCCTTGTTTGGGACTCTTGGTCGGCTTACAACAGTGTCTGCAGTTATTTCTTCATGACCTAATTTTAAATTTCTGATTTTGTATTTAAAAAATAATTTGTTTACTTCCCCAATTTTACTTTAATTAAATAGTAACGCAAGTCTCCATGGGTTGATTCATAAATATTTTATTCCGAGTCCTGCATCCTGTACCACTAAGTGGTCACCTATACACTTGCCTCACATAAAAAATATACAAAAAAACAGGATTGAATGTAATGAAACGCCATTTTCTGGGTGAGCCCCAGAGGCTTCCTGGAGCTATCGGACTGATATGTGCTACAGTACTGTATATTAGTCTGGGGCTTCAGTCAATGGAGTTCTGCCTACCAGGGACCATTAGCCAGAACCTGGCCCCCCTCAGAGAGGTGCAGGGAGCAATGGTCCTAGGAAAACCCTCTTGTATTTTAGGGTATTCCTTCTGCCATCGACCAGGGTTAGGCACCCAGAAAGGTAGAAATTTCAAAACAAACCTCACTTGGTAGGAAATTGCAAAAAACCCAAGGCCAAACAAAGAAACAGAACTCTCCAAAAGAAAACAAAGGAAACATGCAAACGTCATTCACTGCTGCCACGCTGCTTGTCCATGCAGCTCCCCCCCCCCCACCCTCGTCCCCCCCAGTGCTGGCTGCCCACACCTCAGTTCGGAGGCTGAGCATCAAAAACTAAACGAAACCGCCGACCAGAGAGAGGGAGGGTGCCATGGAGCCTCCAGGGCTCACCCAGAAACTGGTGTTTCATTACATTCAATGCTGGTGTTCTGTGGGGAGCCCCTTCGACTTCCTGGAGCTACATACCAAAGACAAGTAAAAAGGGGATTTACCTGGGAGGCGGCCGTACCACGTACCTCAATTTAAAGACGAGACAACTGGCTGCAACCTGCGACCCAAGGCAACACATGAACAACTGGAACCAGGAACATTCATCAAATAATGGGCAGCCAGGACCCTGTTTGACCTCCAAAACTCCAGTGCCTGAATGTCAGCCCAAGACATGTTCCCAAACACAGCGGTCAGAGCAGCAAACTTACGAACATCACGGCTACAAGGTAGACTGGCTAGACTTAAGAACACTGAGAACGACATGAAAGACCGGATCCCAGGACCAGGAAACAAGGGAAATTGGATCAACCCATAGCGCGTCCACGGCCACAGAAGCCAAGGCACACAGGCTCAGGCGCCGCATGAGCAGGCCATAGGCGAAACAAAGCACGAGAAAGCTTACGGAATGGGGGCAGAAGAGACATCCACCCAGAACGCAAGTTGGAGCGGCTCTGCCAGTGCCGCATGATAAGCGACAGAATTAGGCATAAAATGACGGTCCTGAAAGAGCCAAGAAAGAAAGGACAAGACAACCTGAACAAAAAGAGAAGACAACCTACAAAGAGAGAGAGGAAAAGGTAAAAATAATGTCCAAGAGACCCCTATACTGTCGTCGAGATGAAAACTGCAGGTGGGACACATTCAATGAAGCCGCCTGATCACAACAAGAGGTGATACACCCACATCAAAAGGACCAGACACGAAGAGCGGAGGAGTAGATCGAACCAGCCACTTAATGGACTGGCCCACGCTGCTGGAATAGGAGGAGGTGCCGCGGAAAACAGCCCTGGTTTGGACACCGAGCAAGCAGCACCTGAAACCAAGACTGGGTCTGCCACCACGGGGCCACAAGGACCACTCTCCCGTGGGAAGACTCCAACTGAGCCAGAACCCGAAGCACCAGCTGGACCGGAAAAAAAGAGATACTGTATAAGTAACCCCACCTCGACCAGTCCTGTCAAAAAGCATCCACCACAATAGCACTGCAGTCAGGGAAGGGCACCACATATATCGGGAGATGCTGGGACCACGCCGATGCAAAGTAGTCCACCGCTGGGGGCATGTATGTCCGGCAGAGCCAACTGAAGGAATCGGCTGTCCATTCCATGGACAGAGGAATGAACTGCGACAGGCCATCCACCAGGAAGTTGGACACTCCCCAGATGTGAACCACATGGAGAGCTAAACTCCGAGAATCCAGCAGACGAGATACCTAAAGTGACCAGCCCCAGAGCGCCAAGAACCGAAGAGAATCCCTGCAGTTCAAACTCGGGAACCCCCAACAGAGGCCCCAGGGCAGAGTCGCCCTCCACGCCCACGCATCACCCTAGAAGAAAAGACAGAGTCCAAGACAAAGGCAACAAGAAGAGGGGGCCTGCTGGTAAGGCCCAGAAGCCTCGGCGGGAGGAGCATGCTTAAAGGCCTCCGTACCCGCAACGAATGGGGCAGCCTGTGGAGCCACCTGAGTCTCATCCCCAACTAAACCCTGTCCCGACTCCGAAACCTGCAGACATTAGGAAGCAGGCAGCAGGAAGGAGAAGGGGGGGGGGGGAGACAGAGGAACCACAACAGCAGGGAAAAGGACCCAGGGGCATGGACTGAACCAAGGCCGAAACGACCAACACCCCCAAGTTTATTTATTTATTTATTTATTTATTTATGCATATACAAGAAGGTACATTGGGAATGTGAGGATACATAATATGGTAATTACAGTCTTGTAAAGCCACTAGTACGCGCAGCGTTTCAGGCAGGTCCTTAATCTAAGAAAATTTTAAGTAGGTAAATACTTGCAAAATTTATAGAAAAAAAAATGATAACAGTTATATGGAATGAAAAAAAGAAGATGAGAGAAAATTGTAGGTACAGTATATTAAAGCACATAGGTAGCTAAGATTGACCTAACCAGAAGGGGGCAGTCCCAGGGAACTCGAAAGGGGCAACCAACCTAGCGTATTGCAAGAACCTAAAACCAACCAAGCAATGCGACAGTCGCTTGACCCCAAGGATCTTCTGAAGAAGAAAGAATAACTGGAGAACAAGCGGGGGAACAAGACCTGCACGACCCTGGGTCAAAGGTTTCAGCGACCTCCATAAGCAGCATAACAGAGGCAAAACCAGTAATTGTCACCCTGAGACACGGGGCAATGAACAACCTGTAAACTCGCTCTGGGTGCCTAATCCTGGTTGATGCCAGATTTAATACCCCCAAATACAAGGGGTTTTTCCTAGGGCCATTGCTCCCTGCGCCTCTCTGAAGAGGGCTATGTTCTGGCTAGTGGTCCTCGGTAGGCAGAACTCTATTGACTGAAGCCCCAGACTTATATAGTATATATCAGTCTAATAGCTCCAGGGAGCTAAAGGGGGCTCCCCACAGAAAAATATATTTTATGTTTTCTCTGTAGCAAATTTATTAACACATAGCTTATTGTACTCTTATTGATCTGATTTTAATTATTAACCATTCCTTTCTTCCCCAGAACTCCTCTATTACCAATGGTAAAATCCTGAATGGTGGAGAGATTCACGTAGAGGTGGAAACTGCTACCAGGGACACTAGCACTACCAAGATGTAGGAAAATGTTCTTCAGTTCAGTTACCAAGCAGAAGTCAGAAAAATCTATGGAACTCAGAAAATATTTTGACTTTTTTAAACTGGTATGAATCACTGCCAAGAGAAACTGATGAAAGACAGCCATTTTCAAAAGCAGTAATCTTTCACAGTAGAGATTACTGTGATTACTAGAGATTACATGTTGTTTGGATTTACTCTATTTTCTATGTATGTTTGAACTGACACAAATACAACACTTATGCAGGGTTATACCACAGCTGTCCTAAACAGTAATGGCTGCTGTTTTTTGGCACATATCACTTGGTACCCTGAGTAGCTACTTGATGTTGGTAAATTCCTAATGTAGTAATAGATTAATTCAACAAAGTTTGAGTGCCATACATGATAAGCGGTCAAAAGATCATGGCTTTAGGTCTCTGGATCACAAGTCTTCAAGCCTAAAGCCTGTGTGCTGTAATCCCTCAAGCCACTTTCTCTTTGACCATCCTCATAGGTGTATTGACGGACGAGTTCCTTCTAACTCCTCGAAACATGTCTGTATTCAGATATATTAGTGAGATAATAGACTTAAGGATTTGTGTTTTAGACTCTTGACTTGTATTGTTATATACAGTATTTAAAAACAAAATTGCTTTGGAACTTGACAATGGGACTTTAAAAGGTACCAATGTTAAATCCATGAGTGCAATAGAATGAGTGGACCAGGTGGAGTCAGAAAACTCTTAGAACCTAGTTTAGTATTAGTAGATTGGGGGAGAAGTAGGTGGTTGGCGATTACGCTTTTTACAAATAAAGTATTAATAGTTTTTTATAAAATCTGGTTTAATCAAATACCCGGTACAACAGCTATATCAGATCTTCTCTTGAGTTTAACCTGCAAAGCTACCAGTATACTCACATGTGTAGCTGTTGACATATTTTTATGTAGACGAAACACATTTACAATGAGTTTTCCTTGTGATATTTTCAGTCATGCCTTGATATTTTTGTAGTGTTATGAAACCTAACTTATCAGTTCTGTCAAACATAAGTATAGCCAAACATAAGTTAACATAAGTAAGTTAACATAACAAACATAAGTATAGCCATAGCATAAGTTAACCAAACATAAGTATAGCTAGTGAGCAGACATTATATGATTTACTTATTATGTACTACATTTAATTTTACCCATATTGGGTAAATTCAGAATTTTTTTTTTTTTTTTTTTGAGATATATACAAGAGTTGTTACATTCTTGTACAGCCACTAGTACGCGTAGCGTTTCGGGCAAGTCAAATTAACAAATAACTGAGATAACTGTTGCTAAAAATGAGCTGCTGTTGCATCAAGGCATATTTTCACAATGAGAGTTTTTAGTATGGTTTAAACTACATGCACAAATCAGATACTCCCCTTACCCATCTTGCTACTATTTGTGTGGCTAAGAATATCAAGTGTTAGCTGAGCTAGACAATATGGCTTCCCAACGGTATTTTTGCCAGTGCTTTATACGGTAGCTTGCAGGTAGCTGACTAAAATCTCTGTTGTGCTACAGTCTGTATGTGGCTTTTGTGAGGTGCTGTGCACTGTTGATTGTTTACTACACCTGCAGGTGTTCTTCAGTGGCTCTCCAAATAACTAAATCTTGTACTGTCTCCTTGATGCAGGTTTGTACCTGCATCCTCTTTTAACTCTGCTGTTGAATGTCTAGCAGTGCAGTCTTTGCTAGTGTATAGAACATGGTCTATATATAGATGAGATTTTCATATTCCCTTTCACAGATACATCATACACTGTAAACTAATCAAATATATTATAATCCACCTCTAATATAACAGTAGGCGCTAATGGCGGGTCCACTGCTCATAAACTTTGTGCTTCATAATTTCAAGCTACTTTTTTCTAGTACAAAGAGAGCGAGAGAAATAAATACTGCCAAATGTTTTTACTTTGTGATGCACCTCTTTATATCTCATCATTGTACCTTAGACAAGTTTATATCACAGGGACAGTATAAACTACAGTATTACGTTTTGTGAAGATAACATGCATAGTATTTTCACTACAATACTGTTTGAATTTAGGAGAGATATTACTAGCACATTATAGTGTTAATACTATAGGAAGGTTAATCAGAAGCTCTGAATAACTGTGATTACTAGTCTGTGATCAAGCAGCACATGACATGATTAGTTTGTATTACTGAAAAGCAATATTGAACGAGTCAAGGTTAAAGGCATGGTGAAAATATATAATATAATTACAGTAATTCATTGTGTTGGGGGACAGGAAGCCAAAGTGTATTCATAATCGGTAGACTTATATCGTGGTCCTTCCCCTTCCCCCCCCTTCATGGCGGAATTACTGACCTTGCCCAGGATGCAACCCCCACAACAAGCTGACTAACTCCTGAGTATCTACTCGCTGCTAGGTGAACAGAGGCATTAGGTGAAAGGAAATGTGCCCAACCATTTCTGTCCTGCTGTGATTCGATCCCGAAATTTTTTATTGTGCATCGTGACTGAACTTGACTGTACTACCGGCACCCTTGCAATATCTAGTGCAATCATGTGTGGTCTAGCTATAAAACTAATTAAAGCTACTACCTTTATGTAATACTGTAGATATTTCAGTGCAATTTCCTTCAGTTGAAATGAACATCCCTCGAAAATTTTCTATTTTATTGCAACCTTTTTTTTTTTTTGTTATTTAACAAATGCATACATCTATTGGCAAGATTTTTCAATTGTGCATATATTGAAGTTTGGCACTACAGTACTACATGTAGCCTTCTTGGATGGAATGTCCATCCTAAAAAGTGTAACTGGGCAACCTGTCCTACAAAGAACGTCGCATTTCGCGCGTATGCGTTACATATGGCCAAAAATTGTCGTACTAGAAAATAGAAGCGGCTCACGAAAGTAATGTACTGGCCTGTTTTCTGTTTTGCGCCCTCTGGTAGGTTAGGAGAGGACACTTTAACTTGACAGTTTTCTTGGCATTGGGAAACCTTAGGAGGATGGGCTGAAATGGGTGCATGTTGAAACTTATGATGCACCATGGTATTTTCTTAGGCATGTTGACATTTGTGACACATTCCTAACTTTTTCTCACAATTTAAGGGAAGACTGATACCTTGTTTCACTGTTGTGATCTTTTAGACATCTTCAGTTTCTAAAATACAGATTTAACAATATAAAATGAACAAAAAGCACATCCCAAAATTTATGGCTGTCAGTAGTAACTGACTTATAGCTACATAACCTTCTAACTAGTTATTCATATAAATTGGTCATAAGTGAGCCTCAGGAAGGGTGGTAAAAGGCAGTCCAGATAGTCACCAAGTTATCTTATTATCAAATTATCCATTTTTAGCCCTTAGCGAAAAAATAATTTTGATACGTTACTCTTTAAGCAACATAAATTTATAGTTGAGCATGGTGGAAGCTATAAGGTAGTACAGTAATAATATATATAATACAGTACTGTAATAATATATATAATACAGCTATATGGTAGCTGTAGCCTCCACTCCAAACACTAAGATCATGGATCTGTTCCTAAAATACCACCTTACAGCTGACTGACACTGAAGATGTTTACCACAGTAGTGCTGTTGTGACTGCCAATATTAAGAACACTGTCTTGGGGGGTGGGGAAAAAAATATGACTCTCGAGAGTTATTCTCTGCATTAATACTGTACAGTATTGATAATGAGCCTCGAGTATTAATAGTATTATAAGTTCATTTTTTATAATAATATAAATAAAAAGACCCGTTCCACTCTTATCTATTCAAATTTTCCTTGTACTGCACCAAAGGTGAATTGCAGTAGTCACAAATCAGGGATTGTTATGCATAATTAAGAAGTTTCACATGCTGTATATTTCTTTAAACATGAAGCAGTACTGGAATCTTCGTCACTGCTTGGTGCAATTTGGATCCTCACTCTCAAGTACATACAACTTGTGATGATCCCAATGCAAGCACCATCTTACTTAACAGTATTAAAATATAGCCAAATTGGCTTTTATTTTTTATTTAGATAAATTACTGTATAAGAGTAGATATCTGCCACTAAAGACATTTGTTCTGTTACTATAGTTTATGTAATGCTGTGGAGTTTTTTTTAGGTAGATATCCAAACAAAAGAAAGGCAGTTTAGTCATTTAGTCATTATGTAATTATGTATATATATAAACTGTTCTTTTAATAGAAAATGATATTTACCACTAAAGAAACTTGGCTGACTAGGCATCTGTGCAACTATGAAGGAGCAATTTGGTTTGTTTTCAGAATTAGATGTTGACTGCTAAAGAATCCTTTTTGTCATCCTATGTTGGTGCTGGATAACCTTAGAAACCTAAATGGTTTCATATATTTTGGTTCATTATTATTGCACTCCCAAAGCCTTCAGTGGGCCTTGATTCCAATTTTCTGTTATATAAGGTAAATTGTTTATAAATATTGCCTAGTCTTCAAGTTTTGTTTTTACTTTTGACATTAATTTATTTAAACAATTAGTTGCATGTGTTTACATATTAGGAAAAATTAGTATGCATCACCTCTGCTCATTATTTTGAGAAGGATCTGGTCTTTTTTGTAAACAAAAGATAACTTTTAGTATAAAAGAACGTTTATAATATCAAAAATCTTAGTGTATTTACCCATACTCACAAGATTTGTGAAAATAAATATAATGAGGCATGCGGTAGCAGGCCTTAGTTACTACTGTGCTGTTGTTGGCCAGTTTGTCTATAAAATATTGGAAAATCATCCATCATGTTTTAGCAAATAACAACAAGAACTGCTGAATCCTCTCTCTATATAGCTATATTACTAGTAGAAAGATATTCCAGAACATTTTGCATTTATACAGCTTGGACTTCAAAGTCAAAATATGTAATCCCAAGTACAGTTCAGTGTCTATAATATTACATAACTGAAGAAGTTTGACAGTGTTTAACTCAACCTTTATGGTAGATTTGTCATAAGGTAGAACAGTGGGATGTGAATAATTTTTTTTATTTTTGTTTATAGTTGATGACAAAACCACACATCAGAAATGAAGAAACAACAATATTTCGGTCCGTCCTGGACCATTATGTAGTCATGAGAAGATAATTATCAAGATGGACCATTATCAAGTTGATCTCGCGATTTGATGTGCGGGATGGACCGAAATGTTGTCGTTTATTTATATTCTGATGTGTGGGTTAGTCATCATATCTTCAGCCATGTTATTATGACTCGTCGTCTGCTTATATTTATAATGGTTTTATTAAGAACTGAGTAATTTGTTTAATTTTTAAATTACATGTTGCATATAGCAAAAAATTAAAATCAAAGACCTATTTTGACAAACATACAGAGTGAATGATTATAACAATAAGGTATATAAAAGTGAATGATTATAACAATAAGGTTTATAAAAGTGAATGATTAATAGGATTGATTATAAGGTATATAACCTATACATCAAAGTAAATGTGCAAAAATGTAAAAAACAAAAACAAAAAAAAAAATAAATATAGAAACAAATTATATCAAACATATTGAGTGTCAGAAACACCTGTAATTCCCAGTTGAAATAACTGGATCTACCATAATTCTGTGAACTAACCATGTGTTTCTGCTCTCTTATGTGAGTACCTGTCGATGATTTCTTCCTGAGTTCCAACAGTCAAAATATAAATTTTAGAAGCCTATGCAAAGAAATGATCATCAAGAAAAACAATGAAAAAGTGAGACAGTCCAAAATAGATACATATTTCCTAAGATATGAATGCCTAAGACATTAAACCAGTGAAGCTTTAGATCGGCACACTGTATATATTTACTGAACACAAATTTTACCACTATTAAAATAGCCCGTGGCACGGGCTATTCATGCCTGTGCCACCTCTTGGGTGGTTTAATCTTCATCAATCAATCGGTCTTAGATCGGGCAGTCAAAACAGAAGTTACCAAGCAATTTTAAGGTTATGTATGTAAAATACATACAGTACAGTATTACTGCCCTTCATTTTTAATGCTTATGGCACTACATTTCTGTACTGAGAAGTATTATAAAGTATTTCATCCTATGGGTGACCAAGACTGCTTTAGACGCTACTAGATACCTTAAAATTTGTTTAATTTTACTTATTTATATGAGAAAGCTGTTATAACAATGTAATTATGTTATTAATGGATATGGACATATGAATTCAATCAGTTATAGTAAAAAAAAAAGCGTTGAATGTAATGAAACGCCATTTTTCTGGGTGAGACCCGGAGGCTCCCCGGAGCTTATCCAGGCTGATATGCTAATGTCAGACTTTGGCATCAGTCATGTGTATGGAGTTCTGTGGGCCTACTAGGGACCACGAGCCAGAACCTGGCCCCCTCAGAGAGGCATGGGGAACAATGGCCTATAGAAACCCCTGTGTGGTTGGAAGCATTCTATATCTGCCATCGACTGCTATTATGGTGAAAATTGCAACCAAAAGCCAAACAAGTGGATAGAACTCCCCACAAAGGAATGAGCAAACGAGCATGATGTCACACATCGCCGCACCACTGTCTGCACAGCTCCCCTCTCCCTGGGAAGGGGAAGGGGGAGCCCCAGACCCCTGCGCCGGCCATCCACCCGTCAGCGCCACACGATACGAGGCAACAGTGTTAGGCATAAGATGACGGTCCTGAGAAAAAGGACAACACCACCCTAACAGACAGCGAAGCATAACGACGAAGACGCAAAAAGAACCGGAAGGACTGCCAGGAGCCGCGGGAAAACCTACGGATTCGAACACCGAGCAAGCATCCTCATTAACGTGATAAATCTGTTGTACCAAAGCTCTTTTTAAGCTAACCTTTGTTGCCGAGTTATGAATATGAAATGATGCAGCTTACATTTTTAACTACTGCAAATAATGTGGTACTGTTTCCATCCATTTTCAATATTTATTTATAAGTAGTGTCCTTTCCCCAGAGTGCCTAGTAAATAAAATGACAGCAGTGCAACTGATAGTCAGTTTCCATCTTTCAAATGAATAAATACACAAGGAACGTAATATGCAAAGTAATGTTTTAACAAATCCACAAGGGCCGTGATGAGGGTTCGAACCTATGACCAAGAGAGGATCCCAGATGCGCCTTAATCGTCGACTGTACCACGACACGGTAAAAAAATTGCAACCGGGAGTTAATCTGCCCTCACACGGACAGATGAACAAATAGGCCCTTGTGGATTTGTTCATTTGATGCATCATGCTATTGTGATTTATGTGTAATAAAGTACTGTTTGCTTGGTATCTTATGTATGGTATACACCTTGTTGGTCATAATCAGCTACTACTTTTTTTACCATCATAATTGTTTGTGGCAAGCGGCTGATGAAGATGATGAGGATGGTGGCAGCACAGTAGTTGGCAGTGAGTAGTTTATATATTATTACCGTTTTCTTATTTTTTATTTATATACGAGAATGTACAATTGGATGTGACAGTACATATTTTGGTGAATAAACAATCCATATTGCAAAGTCAACAACACACACACAGCATTTCAGCCTAATTTTATAGCAAATACAGCATTTGCGGTGAATTTTAAGTTTCAAGGTGAAACAATCTTAAAACAACAAATAAAATTAGTAACACACACATAATTTAAAAATTAGAATTAACATAATTACTATCTTATTAAAATAGTAATATGGTGATAATGAGAAATTATATTACTACATAATAAAGAATAAGCAGAGTTGGTAGCACAAGATAACAAGAGTCCTCACTCTGGTGAGGAAATTAGGTACGTCCACGTCTGATAAAGGTATAGATTGAGCAATTATTTGCTTCATCAGGGAGTTCAATATATTTTGGTCCCTATATTTGCATGGTGTGTTAGGAATATTAGATATATTTATTTCTAGTATCATGTTCATGGGTTCTATAACAACAATCTAGGAACAGTTTCAAAACATGGTTAGTATTGAGGAATAAGGCTTTGTAAGCATATATGGCACAAAGAATTTTTGGAGCGAATGTTTAGGGATTTGAACATTGGGGCTGTGTGTTGTCTGAAATAGTATTTATTATAATTCTGATAGCCAATTTTTACCAGTTGATGGTGGGTTGTTTGCAGCAGTTAAACCCGATACACAGATACTCCAAGTTAGATAAGGATGTTGACCAGACCACACACTAGAAATTGAAGGGACGACGACGTTTCGGTCCGTCCTGGACCATTCTCAAGTCGATTTGTGATAATAAATCACACCTTAAGGATAATAAATTAAGGATCACACCTTAAGGATCACACCTTAAGGATTTGTGATAATAAACCCCCCCATAAGGATAATAAATTTATCCTTATTAGATAAGGATAAATTAGTTTGAGGAGAGCAGATTGGAAGGACATAGTATCTGATTTTGAAAAGTATACCAACAGTTTTTGAGGCATTTGGCAAATGCACTAAGAATCCTGTTTCTTGTCCATACATGAACCTAACAGTTTTCCTCTAACTTTTATTATAAATGTTTACATTATCTATCCAAAAGTGTATTTGGTTAGATGATTTGTTTCCAAACAAAATATAGGTATTTTAATGGTTAATGTGAGCTTGTTGGCCGACATCCATGAGTGGACTGTTTTTTACTTATCACAAATTATGCCATTGATGACTACATATTAGTAGTGGAGATATGATCGAATATACATATTTATAGTTCAGAGAGTCTTTTAATTCATTATTGATGAAGTTCAAGTAGAATATTATTGTGATTTATAGTAACAACTTTTCTTGGATAATTGAAGAGGCCAACTGGAAATTAATTTGGATCAAGGGTTGTGTAGATAATAACAGCATCATTGGTACTCTTTGGGAATCTTATAGATGGAAAACATTAAAATTGAACATTCCTATTGGTTGGATTATTCAAACAACTTGAACATTAATTAAAACTTATGCCAGTGTCCTCATCAATTCAAGATATTACTTGACTCTCACACAGCTTTCCTTACCCTGTACAAATCTTGTTCAACAGAGCTTTCCCATCTTGCATTCGTTAAATAGACATTATTCAAAGTGTTCTAGTATACAATAGCTTCCCATTTCACAAAAGCTTTCTGCTTCACAAATGCAAATTATTCCACAAAGAACACAAAACCCATGCAAACCTCTCATTCTGCAGACATTGTTCTGCAATCTAATTCATCACCAAGTGGTACATCTATCCAGAAGGATGTACGTCCACCAGAAGTACCAACCATGCAGTAAGAAAACTCATTGAATTAGAGAAGACCAGCTGCATATCACTCATTCACAGGTATTAATTTTTGCCTATAAATCTTGATTTTTTCAAATATTTTTTTATCATTATATATATAAATTTTTCATGTACATAAAAATGGAACTTTAAATTTTCTTCAATGAAATTGTACTCTTAAAATAGTAATTTCATTGATAAAAAATTGGAAATCCATAGAATTAGCCATTCAGTATATCAACAACAACTTGGCTCACTACTTGCCACACATACTGCCTCTTGAATATAGTATATTAATAATGTAATCAATAGCTCATATAAAAGGAAAATTATAAAGGCCTAAAAAAATATCACCTGAAGCAATACTTTATTATGCAAAGACATGTCACATGGTGGTAATATTTTGTGGAAAAGAAATCTTGGCATTTAAAAATTAAAAATGTATAACATACAAAACTTCTCCCTCTCCCTCCCGCCCCAAATACACACAACGCAGACACTCACAGGGTTCTGTAAAGGCTTCGTAAGACATCCTACGTACTAAGACAAGACAGATGAGATCTCACCAGCAGCATCCACATAAACAGTTCCTCCAAGACAAACACCTACTTCAGTGGCGGAATGGAACAGCAACACACTGACTAAATGTAAACCTAATTTTCTTTTTACAGTATTTAATAAGACAATTGTAACATAGTGAATTAAATACCTGTCAAGACATACATCTGCAGTAACTAATCTGAAGAAAAGTTATCTCTCAACATTTTTTAATTCAACACTCGTGTACTGTATATATTAATATATATTAAAACAATAGAATTTTGGCATGTATAAATACATACCTAGTAAATTTGTGCATACATGTTCATTTATGTGTGTGTGTGTGTATTCCTGCATACAAGTAGGTAAGTTATATGAAATAAATAGTACGGTAAACATCATTCATAGAAATATGTTCAGCTACAGGAATTTGAGAAAATATACAAAGTTGAACATGCATAACAAAAATACTTCATTTTATGTATTTGTGTTCCATACATAACAGGTGGCTGGTGGTGGTGAGGAAGGAGAAGTACTGTAGTAAAGAGGAGAAAAGAAGATAGGAGGAAAAGGAGGGAGAAGAAAGGGGAAGGTTGAACAAGGAAAGTGGAGGCAAAGGCAGAAGAGACGTGAAAAAAAAAAAGCAGGGCAAGCCTGGTTTAAATCAAGGGTTGTAGGACTGAGCCAAACAAATTTCTGCTGCTAGTTACCGGGACAACCTGGCCGTGATGGCCATGTGGGTACAAATACCAAGAACCTCACGGACCAATCAAGAATATTGCAAGGAATGGGTGAAGATTAGGGAAGATGTGGAAGGGGAGCAGCAGCAGCAGCAGAAGGAAAAAGAAAATGTAGAAGTGCAGCAAATTGAATGAACGGACAAATCTACGGAAGTACATATTATATATCCATGTATTTGTTTTATTTATACATAAAACAATGCCAACTGTATGTGTATAAAAAAAATATGCATGCATTTCTTTATATATCTGTATTAATATATACAATTAAATATGGTATTGTCTCTGTATAAAATTTTTACATGAATGTATATACTGTATGAGTATGCACTTGTCATTCATACATGAGACTCATATATGTATGAGTGCCATATTTTCTAGTCTGTATATCATTGTCCAAATTTAATTTCAAGGGACAGGCACCAATTACAAAAAAATAATATATAATGATCATAAACACTGCTTTAAAGGTAATAAATTTAAAACATTATACCCCATAATTATTAAAACGGTCTCACTTATCTGTCAACTATTCAAATATGTCGTGAGGATTCGTAAGATTTACGCGTAATGCAAGAAGATTTATATCTAACCAGTTTCCTTTTGGGGGGGTTATTTCTTCACAAATAATACTGGAGGTAACCAGCTATGAATGAGGGAAATCTGCCTTTCTACAACTAATGGTACAAATTCTACCTGATGAGCTTAAATCAGGAAAGTTGAAGAGTGCCCATTAGTGAGACAGACAGACACAGAGTCTCAGCGGCGAAAGGCTTTCTTGAAGAACTGTCGGGTTTTGGCCATCAGTGGAGCCACTTTTTTGTTCTTGGCTGCAAAGGAAGTGCTCAAATTAAAATCATGATCCTACTAATTCCCTATTTAGCTGTGTTTATATTGACATCTAATTACATCCTGATTATAGCCTCATTAATCCTAAACAGAATGGGCCATTGAAGACAAATTTCACTGAAAATACAAATTAATCCATTTGTGCAAAATAATAATTCATTAATTAGAATTTTATTTTTATATCCACTCTCCATTTTTTATGTCCGTTAAATAATCATATACTGTATAAGGGTAATTACGAATCTCTAGTTTTATCTTTTAAAGCTTATCCAGAATCAAAGCAAGGCAAAACCTATTTAATTATTCTCTAATATTTCACCTGACAAACATCCTTATGCTTATGAACGAAGCTTGTACGAGCTGAACTACAAGTTCAATGTACGGATTCAATTAGTGTTGTCATCTAATTTGAATGCTATTGGTCTATACTGTATGTGAAACACCCATTAATTGTGGCTAACTGGAACTAGATCCACTACTCTTTGGTCAAAATATATTTTCTTTTTTGAACAATTAGCACATTTCACAATATTGAGTCACAAAAAAAGAAATGTCACAATGAATGGGGACATTGTTATGGGTACTCAAGAGGTGCATATCTTTACTACCATCTAAATATCTATTTATACAACCACACCTTATGTAAACTTTATGGCTTTCCAACACTAACCAGAGACTGGTCGGGGAGTATTAGCTGCTCTCTCTGCACGCTGTACATTTTGCATTGCTGTCTTTCGTGCTGCCACTTCATTAGCTTTCCCAGGCTTTGCCGCAGTAGCTGAAGGAGCCGCAGTTCCAAATTTTGCCTGAAATAATTAAAACTTTTCTGTATTTTCAGATATAATTACTTACTATAATGTCAAAATTTGAATCATGCGACATGAATTTCCCCATTTAAAATACTGTAATGGAAATAAAATTAATCCGTTCCACCCCTGAAAATTATCAATATGACATTTTATACTGTAATTATAATTCGTGTAATTATTATAAATGTTGTGTTTTACTATTTTACTGTCCGAGAATTTGAGAGAACCGCACCAGGTGGTTTGCTCGTTAATCGAGCGGAAGCTCGTCAATTGAGACAAATTGACTGCACAATCCTAAGGACACCTGAAATTTACTTTAAGGAAATGTATATGATTGCCCTGAAAAACTATGTACAGTAGTAGTAGCCATCTATCAGTCTCGGGAGACTATGGAGCTGTGCTCTGATTGTCGGTTGTCTGGTTATATACTGTACAATACCGTACAGTATATACTGTATATATACTGGTTATATACTGTACAATACCGTATATAAAATGAAGATTGAAAAGTTGCTCATCAAAAATTGATCCTCCATACTGTACTTTGTTCACAGGAAGACTAATTTTAATTACAAAATCATGAAAATGCAAAGGGATATTGTGCATTTATTTGCCAATCTGTAATTTAATTCAAGACAAATTCAATATGGCTACATGTTGAACAGTCTTTGAAAAAAATTATTAAATAAATGATTATATTAAATAACAAAATTCACAATACCTGCGCTCGAGCAACACTTTTTGGTACTTTAACAGCCGAGTCAACAAAGGCAAGTTTAGTGGTTCGCTTTGGTTCAGCCTTGGAAACAAACTTCTGCTGAAGGTTTTGTGTTAAACTCCTTAGCTTGCGTTCCCGTTCTTCAAAGCAGCGAATCCACATCTCTCGCCAAGTTTCCATCTCCTCTAATTTCTGAAAAGGAAAATAAAAGAATGCTCAGGTCAACTACTTTTTGCCATAGTATTGAAAAATTCCACAGAGAATTCCATTATTAATACCTGTATAACTAACATTCATCCTCCCACAAACAATGAAAGATGCATTCATTTATTCTGTCATATTTTCTGCGTACCCCAGATACTTATACATTTTCACCAACTTCTCATCCATCATATTTTTTTATGGCTCCATACTCTTCTTCATACGTGTTATCATTTTATAAATTGGCTTTGCTCTCCCCCCCCCCCCCCCACCCCAACTTCAACTGGCATGTTCATGCATAATGCTATTTGGGGAGTTCAATTATTCACAACCATACAAACAGAGACATCATTTTTACAAAGTATCGAAATGATAAAATTTGCTTAGTTTAACATTAATTCAGGAGTTAGATAGCATCTAAAAGTTAACAAGCCAACTGTTTAAGGCTATAATATGACCCAGATGTTGAACAGAATATCATACTTGAATCACTATGCCTAGTAGTTTCAGTTTAGGATCTGAATAATGTGATTTAAATGTTAAAAATATGGTGCCGATTGAAATTTAAACACTCTTTCAAAATGAAACTTACCATTTTCCTAAAGTCCCTCTTGCAGTGTACTTCCCATAACACATTAGTATCTTCTAGAAGATACGAATTAAAATCTTCCAAGTTCAGCAGTTGTTGCGGGGACGCTCGTTCCAGCACAGGTCGAAGGATTTCAAAAGGAATTCCTCCAGTAAACTCCAGTGCTGAATAAGAACAAAAAAATATTTAAATAACAGAAATTCAGAACATACAGGAATTTTTTTTATCTGTATCACCTTTTATACTACTGTACATCTAAGTGAAATAAAGAGAGTACAGTATACTGCACTTGCATCTACATCCATTACTTTACCATTTTATTTAATAGGTCCTGATTTGAATATTAAGATTTCACTGTAAACAGCTGCAGCTTACCATCAATGTTTTCTTGTAAAACTCTGATGCATGCCTCATACAGCGTTGGCACGAACGATAACCCAGAGACCTTACCCGAGTACACTTTACTACGCCTGAAAGAAGTAAAACACTATCAGTTAAGCATTCTAGAAAATAAACACACACACACATTTTTAGTATGAACTATAGAGATGTTGATCCAGATTAACCATTAATTTTTGTAGTATAATGAGAATATTTAAAATTCTGCCGCAAGAAGAGTGGAGCATATAATTCAAAGGACTGAAAAATGTAAATTATAGCCGTGATGGAAAACTAATAGACTTGTACACAAGTTCAGACTATGCAGTATATTATGTAGCAGATAATAGTTAAGTACTGTTCAGTGCTAGTTGTATAATCTGGTAACAGTTAATGACCGAAAAATAAAAATAAACAAGTAAAAAATCTTATGGAAAAGTCAATATTATTGAGGATTATATGTATAAAAGGGGAATGGTTTACAAATAATCACATGTTCATTACATCCTTGCACTACAGCTGCATTTTTAGACTAACTTCTCTATTAATCTGTTGGTATACAGTAATTGATAGACAAGCAACAGACCCAATAATATGATCCTACGTACTGTTGGTACGTACTATGGTAAATATTACAAAGGCGATTAAAAATACCACTATATAGGCCTGGCCAGAGACCGAGCCGCAGGGACATTGATCCTCGGAACCCCCCTCCCAAAGGTAGGTAGGTACACAGAAATAAAATTCACCTGTTGCTTTTGGACTGAAGCATAATATTTAACGCTTCTTCTTCCGACATCTTGGATGTAATATAATCTGCAGGATCATCCCGAATTGGGACTCGAGGTAATGGCTTGTAGTTGGGGTTTATTTCAGGTAGAAGTGGAGAATCATCTGCCATAAAAGAAGCTCCTAAGGCAGGTAGGCTTGGCAGCTTGCTTGGTGTCTCTAATAATAGCTTTGGCTATTAAAAAAAGTAATAATAATAAATATGGCAAAATACAGTGAATATCAAAGCTAACATCGCATACAGCACATATTTGACTAGAACAAGGAGTTCAATAAATTTTAATATACTGTTTACCAAGTGTTGTAGGGTGTGTGAATGGCAGGAGAGAATGGGAAGAGAACAGGAAATTACTGGATAAAAGGAGCTTCAGAAATTGTACCCTGAAGAGAAATTCTAGGGGAAACATAAAAAAATAAATATTCCTCTCCTGGATCAAGGGTGGAGCAAACTTTCCCTGAAAACCCCTCATCCTAGATTTTAGGACGCGGCCTTAGCCTCAGTCATCACTCCACTTTCCATTTCAACCATTGGAAAACTGGTTGAATTATTGGTAGCATGTGGCTTAAGATCTGTCAGGAAGCTATATCATGAGACAATAGATATATATGCAGGATCCAATTTAGGAAGTGGAGATCATCCATGGCCAACATAATTTAAAAGCCTATTTGAACAATTTTACCCTATAGTAATTGTATATTTTTACAATGAGTTGGAACACTAATAATTTTTATTTTGCACCCGGGTAGTGTTATTTTTCAATTCCTTATGCATTCAAAGTATAGAAAATAGCCATTATTCCCCCTCAGACCTGATATCACCTTTCCCTTAGACAGCTTAGGGAAGATGAAAGGTTAGTCTTGGTTACATGATGGCTGTCAACTTCTTATCTAGAGCTGTGACAATTTGTCCCCCTCAAACTCTGCTTTGACCTTTGCTTCAGACAACTTAGGGATGATGTCTTTAAGGTACAGTACTTGAAGACTGTTGACTCCTTATCTGGAGCTGTGACAGTGATAGATAAGGAGTCGGCAGCCTGCCAGTAATCTTCAAGGCGAAGGTTAAAGTAAAGTCTGAGGTGAATAATAGCCAAACATTTTTTTTATACTTTGGATGCATGAGCACTTACTAGAAATTATGTTGCATAATAAATATGATAAAAAAAATGATGAACAAAGGGATACGAGTGATAAGAACCAGTTTTTGGAATGTTCTGATGGATTGCTCACATGGATGAGCGGTAAACAAATGTCAAGAACTCTAAATTGTCTGGTTTACCTTTTTGGTGTCTGGCAGACCACCTCCATCTGAATGTAACCTTTTGCTTGATGATTTACTTGTTGATGGTTGTTCATCATCTGAACTTTCTCTATCCTTCTCAATATCTTTTTCTTTCTCTGCATCCTTTTTCTTTTTCTTTTTTTTTCTCTTTACTGGCGAATCAAGACCTGTAAAAAATGCAATTATAACAAGTTCAATAAGCAATTTAATATTATCAACATTTATAATCACATTTACTTCAAAATTATTTTATGCTGTAGACTTCAAGTATACAGATACTGAACATCAGACTCCTAGAGTATATTGAATTTGGATAGACTCAAGGAGCAACAATCTTGATCTAGTCACTTGTTGAAGGAGAGCTCCTACAATAAACTAGGATTTAGAGAAAAAGATGGACAAACAAATAGTGGGCAAATTCCCCATAGCCATGAGAAAATGAAGAGGGAGCCATTCCTCATAGCCAAAGCATAGTGCACTATGCTGCAGGTTGCCAAGTGACGTCAATAATGTGGGGGTTGGTGTTCAGCCACTAAACTAACCCATTAGTAGTTGTATCGAGAATCAGTACCTAACAGTAAACAGGTACCCCAAGGGTTAGGCAACTGTTGTGGAGGTGCACCCTGGGGAGGGTCAGTAGGTCAACCTAGGGGTGGGAGGGGGCTCAATACAAATCTAAAATAAATATATACAGTACACAGGCTTTTTGTTCCCAGAGAAAATGAACTACATTTCTTTGCTTAATGCTTCTACATCATTTCCACAACACTTCTTTCAAACACTAATATGGATTACTCTATCTACTGGCCAGTGCACCTTTTAACGTCCTCGTTCTCATTACCTACGGTTAGCTCAAGATATAAACTAAACTGACCAGGAACTAAAAATCACATTGTGGTTACTCACCCATCAAGGCTGCACCAAAACCGGCATCGGCATCAGCTTCAATCTTCTTCTTTTTCTTGCTTTCCTTTCTATCACTCTCCGAGTCATCCTGCTCAACATGGTTCTTTTTCACATCTAATTCCTTCTTATGCTTTTCTTTTTTACTATTGCTGCTACTACTACCACTACTATTATTACTACTGTCTTTGTGTTTGTCCCTGGGTTTTTCCTCTTTCTGTTTTTCTTTCACTTTGCTGCCGTCTTTTTCTCTGCTGCTCTCCCTCTCTCTACTGTTTTCTATCACTTTGTTTTCTCTACGCACACTGTCTCTGCCCACGCTCTCCTCCTTTCTGTGACTGCTGCTAATTTTATCAGTCTTTTCTTTCCGCTTTTCATCATTTCTTTTGTCACTTTCTCTGGAGTCGTGTTTCACACCAACAGACCGCCTCTCTACCTCGGGTGTACTGAAACCATTAACGATTCCTTCCTCATCATCTGTCTTTGACTTCTCACTGTACTCTTCATACTTATGCTTACTGACTTTCTGTTTTTCATTGTGCTTATCCTTATCTCTGTGCTTGCCCTTGTGTATCTTCCCCTTATCCTTCTCTCCTCTTTTCTCTTCTCGGTCTCTATGCTTATCCTTGTGCTTTTCTTTATGTTCTTTTTTTCTCTCTTTATCATGACCACCTGAAGATTCTTTATGACAATCTTTTTCTCTGTCTTTATGTCTCTCCTTTTCTTTGTATCTGTCTCCAACTTCTCTGCTGCTCTTTTTGGAGGAACTTTTAGTACTGCTGCCATTCTTTCTGTCAGAGGACCCAATGGACGAGGAATCCTTCTCAACTGGGCTCGAGCTTGATCTAGGGCTGCCTAAGCTAGAACTAGGAACATATTCTGCTGGTGCAGACGGCCCCAGTGCATGCTGCAAGTAATCCCTCTGCGATGTTTTAGGATCATATCCCTCACCATCAGACTCGGCCTCACAGCTACCATAAACCACCTCTCTCTTTTCTTCTGTGGGACACTCGGGATTGCTGTATCCGTCAACAGCATCTTCAGATTCTAGAATTTCATCTGCATTATCTACATCTATTTGTAAGTGATCATCTTCTTCCTCATCTTCATTGACATCTTCATTATCATCATCCTCTGTTTCGTATGTCGGTAAAGCATTTCTCTGTAAAAATGAGAGCCATTAAACCTTTAAATTCTCTACAGTATAATTACAGTATTCTATTATGAAACGATGTTAACAAAATACATGAAGCCCAAGGCACAGCTAACTCAATAAATGCAAATTCATGAATAACATTATGCAAATTGCTACAGCTTTGTACAGCAGGGATAATGAAATGTATAATATAACTAAGCATGCTGTAATAGTAATTACAGTATAAGCTTCAAAAAATAATTCATATAAAAATATTCTCCTTAGAGTCAATGCAACTGTACATGATCATCAGTAACACGAGTAACGCATGTCTTGCACATTAAGATGTAAGAGGGCTTGCTCTCTGACTAACCTTTTCTTCTCCCTCTTCATTTGTATCAACTTCTACCTCTTCATCATCTTCTTCCTCTTCTGCTTTAACCATTACCTTCCATTTATTGACAAGGGCTCGTGCCTTTTCTCCAACCAATCCCTCGTGGTGGCGGAGCGAATTGACTGATCGTCCAACGCCAGTTTCCTCCAAGTGACTAACTGTGACATTTAAGTACTTCAGCTTATGTATATAATACAGCAACTGAAAGAAACATAATAGAATTAGAGGTTTTTTCTATGTCAAGGTTGCATTCATTATATGCAACCTTTTATGGTTGCATATAAAAATATATGCATATTTACATATACTGTACAGTAATATAAAACCTATGGAGCGTTATCTCCATCATCTACATTGCCAAGCCATGTAAAAGATGGTGAAAAGTTTTTTTTCTTTTCTTCAATAAATATGAGGCAGCTCCTATTTATACCCACCCAAACTCATTCATAAAAAATATAAGAATTACAAAAGCTGCCAAAAACCTATTGGCTCATACAAGGCAACTTCTATGCAGGCGAAGAGTCACAATAACGTGGCTGAAGTATGTTGACCAGACCACACACTAGAAGTTGAAGGGACGACGACGTTTCGGTCCGTCCTGGACCATTCTCAAGTCGATTGTGGCAGCATAAGGCAGCTTCTATTTATATCAACCCAAACTCATTCAGGTTCATCCGATGTGGCTTCTTCAAGAATAATTGGTAAGGATGACCAAACCACACATCAGAGAATGGACTAATGAGAACATTTCTGTCTGTCTGGGACTTGACATTATCAAGTCGTGAGAGACAATATGACTTAATAATGGTCCAGGATGGACCGAAACATGGTCGTTTCTCCCTTTTCTGATGTGGTGGTTTGGTCATCACATCTTGTTACATTATTGTGACTCATAAGTGTGACTCTCAAGTCACACAATCGACTTGAGAATGGACAGACCGAAACGTCGTCATCTCTTCACTTTCTAGTGTGTGGTTTGGTCAACATGGTAAAACATACCTTTGAAAACTTTTACGACTTGCATATTAAAGCCTTGTATTATCAGAACCCTACATTTGTCAACTTTAATATACTACCAATTTTTCATCCACTCCAAAAACTTCTCTAAATATTATAGCAAGTGTGAGTAATTTATATTTATTTAGTTGAAGTAGTATGATAATTATACTGTACAATATTTACTGCCTAAATCCACTGGGGAAAACCAACTAAAATATTGGTAAACTATGAATAAATGGGAAACTTTGGATGCAACAGAATTCAATTGTTGCAGATGAAGTCTTACATAAACATCTACATATCAACTGATAAATAATAAATTTGGAAGATTTCACAATTAGAAGGAACCAGGGACGAGGAAAGGCTAAACATGCAGTAAAATAATTTTGTAACGTTAACTGTGATCAACTGCAATCATTTAATAGGAAAGTGGTTTATTTTATTTAAAACATAATCTAGCAAGCTAAGATGGAAATTTGGTATCACAGGCAAAAAGATATTTAATGTTAAGAAACTGGTGCAAGGACAAGCATGAGATGGGCAATAGTGGCTTCACAGTGGTTTCTGAAGTATTACCCACCTATAGCAACTATTAAAAATTCGGTAGATTATATTTAATAGGAGTTGCAATGACTTGGCTGACTTCAAGTCAGTCATTTCCCATAAGACTAATACTCTAGCCCTGTCACACCAACGACCTACGACTTTTAAATGAGTGTATTTCCTATATTGACAAGTACTGACTGCACTCTAGACAGGCATTTAATACCACTTGCCTCGTGCCTCCCTCCAACCCTTACCTCATATTTCTGGCTCTCCTCTAGTTACCAACTGCCTCTCACCCTTCTCCTTCATTTACCAACTGCCTCTCGCCCTTCTCCTTCCTTTACCAGCTGTCTTATCACCCATCTCCACCCGTCAACATCTGCCTCTCATCCCCTAACCATCTGCCTGGAGACCTCCACATCCCTTCCCCACCTACCTCTCCGCCTCCTCCTCCTCCCCTCACCAACTGTCTAAGCTTCTCATACTGCCTTACCTTATCCGTCTCTCTGCTCTTGGCATATTTCTCCAACTTGCGCTGGTAGAGAGCAATGTGTTCCGCGACGTTGGACATCTTCCCCACAGCCACAACAGCTGATGCCGCCGCTCAAATGAGTTCCTCCACACAACAATCAAATGAGAGACTCTGGTTTGGTTTGGTGTTGGGCCTACGGCCTGTCTTCTGCACAATAGTTATTAAATTAAAGGTTGTGACCCAACCGGAGAGTAGAACAGAATGCAAGATTATCGTAAACTCACGGTATATATTTTAGCTGAGAGGTGATTTCCATCTCACCTCTTGCGATCAACATCTCGCTATCATTTAATAATCTTCATTCAGCATTTTGATTATAAATGTCAGTGATAAGCATACTGAATTCCTTTCAAGTGTTGCTGTGTGAAATATTCGTTTAATAGAATAAAATAGAGCCCCTTGGTAGAGCGTATGCCCTTCTCAAACGAGTTAAATCTCTCATCTCGTGCAACTTTAATAAGAGCTCAAATAAAGAAAAACAGAAGGCTTATTCTTACATTCGTGGCCGTGCCAATTTGTATGGAACCAGATTTATTCAAACTTACACATAAGAATATAAGAATCAAGGAAACTGCAGAAGGCCTATTGGCCCATACGAGGCAGCTCCTATTTACCTATACCAGTATATGAATGTACTGTATATGAATAGACATACAATGTATATGAATGAGTTTGGATGGATATAAATAGGAGCTAATCATAATACATGCTAATCGAGGCATATATTTGCCTCGTATGGGCCAAAAGGCCTTTTGCAGTTACCTCGATTCTTATGTTCTTTTCTTATCTTGAAACAATCAAGGGATCCTACATCCATTATGTTATACGGTAATTAGTTCCACAAATCAACAACCCTGTTACGGAACCAGCATTTACCCAGGTCTTTCCTAAATCTAAACTTATCCAATTTATACCCATTGTTTCGTATTCTGTTTTGTGTTGATAATGCTACTGATCATAACTCTCTGGTCCCTTTCGCAATCCGACCTCGCAATCTCAACACTATCTAAGAGCATAAGAAATAAAGAAATAAAGAAAACCACATACACTAAATAATGTTGTGAATAATGAATTAAAAAAAGTCCACTTATGAATGTCAACTAACAAACTAACTTTAAATATTATGTGTTTGTAGGAGAAACAAATTAGCAAAATGATCAGGGAAAGAGAAGGGCCTCAAAATAACAATTAAGAACATAAGAACAAAGGTAACTGCAGAAGGCCTATTGGCCCATACGAGGCATCTCCTATCTAAAACCACCCAATCCCACTCATATACATGTCCAACCCGCGCTTGAAACAATCGAGGGACCCCACCTCCACCACGTTACGCGGTAATTGGTTCCACAAATCAAGAACCCTGTTACCGAACCAGTATTTACCCAAGTCTTTCCTAAATCTAAACTTATCCAATTTATTCCCATTGTTTCGTGTTCTGTCTTGAGTTGATACTTTTAATACCCTATTAATATAAGAACATAAGAACAAAGGCAACTGCAGAAGGTCTATTGGCCCATAGGAGGCAGCTCCTATTTATAACCACCCAATCCCACTCATATACATGTCTAACCCATGCTTGAAACAATCGAGGGACCCCACCTCCACAATGTTACGCGGCAATTGGTTCCACAAATCAACAACCCTGTTACTGAACCAGTATTTACCCAAGTCTTTCCTAAATCTAAACTTATCCAATTTATACCCATTGTTTCGTGTTCTGTCTTGTGTTGATACTTTTAATACCCTATTAATATCCCCTTTGTTATGTCCATTCACCCACTTGTAAACCTCTATCATGTCACCCCTAACTCTTCGCCTTTCCAGTGAATGCAACTTAAGCTTTGTTAATCTTTCTTCATATGAAAGATTTCTAATTTGGGGAATTAACTTAGTCATCCTACGCTGGACACGTTCAAGTGAATTTATATCCATTCTATAATATGGCGACCAAAACTGAACTGCATAATCTAAATGGGGCCTAACTAGAGCAAGATATAGCTTGAGAACCACACCAGGTGTCTTGTTACTAACGCTGCGATTAATAAATCCAAGTGTCCGATTTGCCTTATTATGAACATTTATGCATTGATCCTTTTGTTTTAAATTCTTACTAATCATAACTCCCAGATCCCTTTCGCAATCCGACTTCGCCATCTCAACACCATATAGCTCGTAATTCACTTAGGGTATATTACACTAACAGTAGAAGTCTAAGAAACAAAAAAAAAAAAAAGATTTAAATGCTCTTGTCTGCACAGAAAAAATAGATATTATTGCACTTACCGAAACGTGGATGAATGTTGAAAATAGAGAACTATTAGCTGAATATCAAATAAATGGATTTAAACTATTTCACACTGATAGATATATTAGACGAGGAGGGGGAGTAGCCATATATGTTAGGGACAATTTGAAATGTAGTCTCAAAGAGGGAATCAAAACTGAGCCACACACATAAACTATTTGGATAGAATTAAACGAAAAAGCAAATAATATTATAATAGGAGTTATATATGGGGGGATATTAATAAGGTATTAAAAATATCAACACAAGACAGAACACGAAACAATGGGTATAAATTGGATAAGTTTAGATTTAGGACAGACTTGGGTAAATACTGGTTCAGTAACAGGGTTGCTGATTTGTGGAACCAATTGCCGCGTAACGTGGTGGATGTGGGGTCCCTCGATTGTTTCAAGCGCGGGTTGGACAAGTATATGAGTGGGATTGGGTGGTTATAGATAGGAGCTGCCTCGTATGGGCCAATAGATCTGCAGTTACCTTTATTCTTATGTTCTTAAGTTCTTATATAGGCCACCAAATTTAGACAGAATGGAAGCAAAGCATCTATGGGATGAAATATCTAGAGCATCTAGATCTAACAGTATTTATGTCGTGGGTGACTTTAATTTTAGTGAACATAAGAACATAAGAACAAAGGTAACTGCAGAAGGCCTATTGGCCCATACGAGGCAGCTCCTATTCTATAACCACCCAATCCCACTCATATACTTGTCCAACCCGTGCTTGAAACAATCGAGGGACCCCACCTCCACAATGTTACGCGGCAATTGGTTCCACAAATCAACAACCCTGTTACTGAACCAGTATTTACCCAAGTCTTTCCTAAATCTAAACTTATCCAATTTATATCCATTGTTTCGTGTTCTGTCCTGTGTTGATACTTTTAATACCCTATTAATATCCCCCCGGTTATGTCCATTCATCCACTTGTAAACCTCTATCATGTCACCCCTAACTCTTCGCCTTTCCAGTGAATGCAACTTAAGCTTTGTTAATCTTTCTTCATATGAAAGATTTCTAATTTGGGGAATTAACTTAGTCATCCTACGCTGGACACGTTCAAGTGAATTTATATCCATTCTATAATATGGCGACCAAAACTGAACTGCATAATCTAAATGGGGCCTAACTAGAGCAAGATATAGCTTGAGAACCACACCAGGTGTCTTGTTACTAACGCTGCGATTAATAAATCCAAGTGTCCGATTTGCCTTATTACGAACATTTATGCATTGATCCTTTTGTTTTAAATTCTTACTAATCATAACTCCCAGATCCCTTTCGCAATCCGACTTCGCAATCACAACACCATCTAGCTCGTATCTTGTAACTCTATCATCATTACCTAACCTCAGAACTTTACATTTATCAGCATTAAACTGCATCTGCCAATCCTTTGACCATTTCAAAACCCTATCTAGATCAACTTGAAGTGATAGTGAGTCCTCCTCCGAATTAATTTCCCTACCGATTTTCGTATCATCGGCAAATTTGCAAATGTTGCTACTCAAACCTGAATCTAAATCATTTATATATATTATAAACAACAGAGGTCCCAGGACAGAGCCTTGAGGCACTCCACTTACAACATTTTCCCACTCTGACTTGATTCCATTTATACTAACTCTCTGTTTCCTTTGGTATAGCCATGCCCTAATCCAGCTTAATATAGCACCCCCAATACCATGAGACTCTATTTTTTAATCAGTCTTTCATGTGGCACTGTATCAAAAGCTTTGCTAAAGTCAAGGTATACAACATCGCAATCCTTACCACTATCAACTGCCTCAACAATGCTAGAATAAAAAGATAACAAATTTGTTAAACATGAACGGCCATTTATAAAACCATGTTGCGACTCAATTATTAATTTATGTTTTTCAAGATGAAGACGAATTTTATTTGCTATTATAGATTCGAGTAACTTTCCCACAATAGACGTTAGGCTAATTGGTCGATAGTTAGACGCAAGTGATCTATCTCCTTTCTTAAAAACTGGTATCACATTAGCAACTTTCCAAAACTCTGGCACTCTGCCTGACTCTATTGATTTATAATAAACTTATTTATAATAATAAGATTTATAATAATGACTCTATTGATTTAGTGGAATAAACTGGGTGAACAAAACAGGGAATAATGAAGCAGAAGATTTTCTAGACTTAATTGACGATTGCTTTGTTACGCAACACATTAAGGAACCAACGCGGGGAAATAATATTTTAGATTTAGTGTTAACTAACAGGGAAACACAAATTAAGGACATGGAAATAGGGAGTGAGCTAGGGAACAGTGATCATAAAGAAATCAGATTTATCATAGAATGGAATAGATCTGTAGGAGAAAATTCTGTTAAAGTGCATGATTTTCGAAAAGCTGATTTCAATAGCCTAAGAAATTTATTGGGTCAAATAGATTGGAATGTCTTGGGTATGGGGTGTGGGCTAGACGTGAACCCAGCGACAGGTGACGGAAAAGGGGATTTCGATGTGGATTCAAAATATAACCTATTTAAAAATATTCTAAGCAAAGCCCAGGAACGTAGTATACCATATAAATTGAACAGATCGAATACTGATGATCCAAAGTGGATAACAAAGGATCTATAGAACCTTATAGGTAAAAAGAGAGCGTGGTTCGAAAGGATTAAAAATGGGGAAGTTAGTTTAGAACAGGAATTCGTACAACTGGTTAGAAATGTTAAAAAAGAGATAAGGAAAGCAAAAAGAAACTACGAAGTTCATAAGAACAAAGGCAACTGCAGAAGGCCTATTGGCCCATACGAGGCAGCTCCTATCTATAACCTCCCAATCCCACTCATATACATGTCCAACCCACGCTTGAAACAATCGAGGGACCCTCCCTCCACCACGTTACTCGGTAATTAGTTCCACAAATCAACAACCCTGTTACTGAATCAGTATTTACCCAAGTCTTTCCTAAATCTAAACTTATCCAATTTATTCTGAGGAAAGTGATTGAGGAAAGATATATACATCTTCCGTAAGTGGTTAAGCAAGACCTTGATTAATCCTGTCCCATCTGGTCGGTCTAATGTGCGGATTACAATTCTGTTTATTTGTTTATATGTGCTTTAAACAGCCTTGTTTTGCTTTGATGTTTCTTGATGAAAGAGTCAATCGAGCTATGCCAACATATACTGTCTCTCATTTGACCTTAGTTGGTGACGTTAGTTGTTCATCCTGAACAACACGATGAACAATGTAGGAATAATAATAATAATAATAATAATAATAATAATAATAATACAATAATAATAATAATAATAATTAAAATAATAATAATAATAATAATTAAATAATAATAATAATAATAGATTATTTAGGAAAAAAGTATATACATACAAAATGAGTTTGTATGTGTGCAGTCTGTATTTAGTACAATGGAACAGTGTATATTCAGTACAATGTAACGTTGGGGCATCGTAGCAGACGTTGGGGCACCGTAGCAGACGCTGGGGCACCGTAGCAGACGCTGGGGCACCGTAGCAGACGCTGGGGCACCGTAGCAGACGTTGGGGCACCGTAGCAGACTCTGGGGCACCGTAGCAGACGCTGGGGCACTGTAGCAGACACTGGGGCACCGTAGCAGACGCTGGGGCACCGTAGCAGACGCTGGGGCACCGTAGCAGACGCTGGGGCACCGTAGCAGACGTTGGGGCACCGTAGCAGACGCTGGGGCACCGTAGCAGACGTTGGGGCACCGTAGCAGACGCTGGGGCACCGTAGCAGACGCTGGGGCACCGTAGAAGACGCTGGGGCACCGTAGCAGACTCTGGGGCACCGTAGCAGACGCTGGGGCACTGTAGCAGACACTGGGGCACCGTAGCAGACGCTGGGGCACCGTAGCAGACACTGGGGCACTGTAGCAGACGTTGGGGCACCGTCGCAGACGCTGGGGCACCGTAGCAGACGCTGGGGCACTGTAGCAGACGCTGGGGCACCGTAGTAGACGCTGGGGCACTGTGGCAGACGCTGGGGCACCGTAGCAGACGCTGGGGCACCGTTGCAGACGCTGGGGCACTGTAGCAGACGCCGAGGCACCGTAGCAGACGCTGGGGCACCGTAGCAGACGCTGGGGCACCGTAGCAGACGCTGGGGCACCGTAGCAGACGCTGGGGCACCGTAGCAGACGATGGGGCACCGTAGCAGACGCTGGGGCACCGTAGCAGACGCTGGGGCACCGTAGCAGACGCTGGGGCACCGTAGCAGACGCTGGGGCACCGTAGAAGACGCTGGGGCACCGTAGCAGACTCTGGGGCACCGTAGCAGACGCTGGGGCACTGTAGCAGACACTGGGGCACCGTAGCAGACGCTGGGGCACCGTAGCAGACACTGGGGCACTGTAGCAGACGTTGGGGCACCGTAGCAGACGCTGGGGCACCGTAGCAGACGCTGGGGCACTGTAGCAGACGCTGGGGCACCGTAGTAGACGCTGGGGCACTGTGGCAGACGCTGGGGCACCGTAGCAGACGCTGGGGCACCGTTGCAGACGCTGGGGCACTGTAGCAGACGCCGAGGCACCGTAGCAGACGCTGGGGCACCGTAGCAGACGCTGGGGCACCGTAGCAGACGCTGGGGCACCGTAGCAGACGCTGGGGCACCGTAGCAGACGCCGAGGCACTGTAACAGACGCCGAGGCACCGTAGCAGACGTTGGGGCACTGTAGCAGACACTGGGGCACCGTAGCAGACGCTGGGGCACCGTAGCAGACACTGGGGCACTGTAGCAGACGATGGGGCACCGTAGCAGACGCTGGGGCACCGTAGCAGACGCTGGGGCACTGTAGCAGACGCTGGGGCACCGTAGTAGACGCTGGGGCACTGTGGCAGACGCTGGGGCACCGTAGCAGACGCTGAGGCACCGTTGCAGACGCTGGGGCACTGTAGCAGACGCCGAGGCACCGTAGCAGACGCTGGGGCACTGTAGCAGACGCTGGGGCACCGTAGCAGACGCCGGGGCACCGTAGCTGACGCTGGGGCACCGAAGCAGACGCTGGGGCACTGTAACAGACGCCGAGGCACCGTAGCAGACGCTGGGGCACCGTAGCAGACGCTGGGACACTGTAGCAGACGCTGGGGCACCGTAGCAGGACTAATGCTAGGGGTGTAACGCCTGACTGGTAAGAGTTTCCGGGAACTAGGGGGCGCTATCTGAGGTACACAGTTGACCTCCAAACGTATACAAGTCGACCCCTTGTATATCCTGTGTGTTCACCTGTGTTACCTGCCCCAGTCTCGTCTTCCTGAAAACGTTCACTGAGTGGAGGAGGGGAAGCGGTCTTTTTTCCATTTCATTGTGTGTGGGCGTGTGTTGAGGCCAGCTCCCGCCTTCCCCTATTGTGGTGGGGCCAGTTCCCAGCATTCCCAGCAGGTGGGGCGTTGTGGTGGGGCCAGTTCCCAGCAGGTGGGGCGTTGTGGTGGGGCCAGTTCCCAGCATTCCCAGCAGGTGGGGCGTTGGGGTAGGGCCAGTTCCCAGCATTCCCAGCAGGTGGGGCGTTGGGGTAGGGCCAGTTCCCAGCATTCCCAGCAGGTGGGGCGTTGTGGTGGGGCCAGTTCCCAGCATTCCCAGCAGGTGGGGCGTTGTGGTAGGGCCACCCCCAACCTTCCTCTGGAAATATATTCCCCTCCCACCCGTCCAATAGATATGTCATCCTGTGGTCGAGGTCAACAGCAATGATTACAATGGTAAAGTTGTATGGCATAGGTACATATATTGGGGAATTGGGTAGCACTAGATACAGTGCGAGTTTCAATCACTAGGTAGGAAACTATGAAGATGAGATTAGATAATTTTTGGTTTTATTTTTGAATAAGGCAAAAGTTCGACAGCTTTTCAATTCGTTAGGGAGTGAGTTCCATAGACCAGGTCCCTTTATTTGCATAGAGGGTTTACACAGATTAAGTTTGACTTTGGGGATATAAAAGATATATTTATGTCTTGTGTGGTGATTATGTGTTCTATTACATCTGTCCAGGAAGAGTTTCATTACAGGGTTTGCACTTAAGAAAAGGGTTTGGTAAATGTAATTGGCACAAGAGAATGTGTGGAGGGAATTTATGTCTAGCATGTTTAGGGATTTAAACAGGGGGGGGGCTGAGTGTTGTCTGAAGGCAGAGTTTGTTATTGTTCTGATAGCAGATATTTGCTGGGTGATGATGGGCTTCAGGTGGTTTGCAGAGGTTGACCCCATGCACAGATTCCATAAATAAGATAGGGATAGATTAGTGCATAATATAGTGAGAGGAGAGCAGAGTTAGGTACATAATATCTGATTTTAGAGAGTATATCAATTGTTTTAGAGACTTTCTTAGTTATGTGTTGTATGTAGGTGCTGAAGTTGAGTCTCTTGTCTAAGTATAGGCCAAGGAACCTTCCATAATTTTTATTGCTGATGTTAAAATTGTCTATCCGAAGCTGAGTACATATAATGTTAGCTTGAAGGCCGGGCAGGCGTGTTTAAAACAACTTGCCAACAAGTTGTTAAACTAAGCACCAGTATCGCCAGTAACTTGTTACAAGCATTCAAGTTCAAGTAAGTTTACTGAGAAAAGGAAGTACATCTCAAAACGATTAGAGTAGTTTAGGTTATTTCTACCCTCCTTTACCAGCCCTGTAGAGCTGAGAGAGGACCCCTGCAGATTGAGATTAGCACGCTTGAGCTAAGCTTGGCTCATATATCAAGTTCAAACGCCTTATATGTTTTATGCCACCGGACCATCCTTATAGGGCGTACATGCAGTCATCACTTGAGGCGTACATAGTCATCCTCGGGCACGTACATGGAGTCATCCTTAACAATGCTATTAGAAGGAGGGAAAATGGTTGTCCTGGGTGTGAGGTGTACCGCACTAGGGGGCTGTCGGCGCTGCTGGCCCAGTCTGTCCTGGACCAGCGTGCGGGGAGGTGCTCCAAGGAACTCCAGTACCGGTACCTGCTCTCCTCCGGTCCTCCTTCGGTCCAACTAGTGTACTGGTACTTACCTCCACTTACCGGGATAGTGTGCGCACTGACACACGCAAATTATATACAAAGTTTTCATGGGAAAAAGTGTGAAAATTTTTGGTTTGTTATTGAAAAGTTAGGAAAGTATATAACCCCTTGTCTTTTGTACTTTAAATACTTTCCTGGTGTTGATAAGTGTCGGTGAATGACAAAGAGGTTTGAAGGGTCGTTGTACCTTGACGAAAGTGATTGATTTGTTTAATTCTTGTAATGCTGGTGAGAATGTCCACCCAGACAAGCTATTGAAAACATTATGGTTTCTCGGGGTGATTACTCCAGAGGTTTCTTGGAATATATATATACTTATGTTAGGATTTAGGTTGGGATTTACGCCTCAGAGAAGGTACTGAAACCGATTAGGTAAATCTAGGTCTTAATGTTTCAAGAACAGAATCCACGAATCGTTTTAGATCCATGTTCCAAGTTACTGCTGGCAGATAGACAAGAGGAAACTGTCTATCTGGGTATATTATTATTATTTATTTGATTCCATAGAAGAAATATTATTAGTTGAAAAACCTTACTGCTAATTATCTGAGTTACTGGTTAACAGTTAAACCAGCTCATGTTGAGTTATGATAGATTATATTTGACTTAAATATACATTTTGTTAATTAACTATTTTGGAAAGAAGTTAGAAAGTGCAACAAGGAAGGTGGGCGGAAAAACTAGTGGTAATATATATTAGGTTGGTGGAGTGTGTGGGAGAGTTGGCAGTATGGGTGAGGTGTGTGTGGGAGAGTTGGCAGTATGGGTGATGTGTGTGGGAGAGTTGGCAGTATGGGTGATGTGTGTGGGAGAGTTGGCAGTATGGGTGATGTGTGTGAGAGAGTTGGCAGCATGGGTGAGGTGTGTGGGAGAGTTGGCAGTATGGGTGAGGTGTGTGTGGGAGAGTTGGCAGCATGGGTGATGTGTGTGGGAGAGTTGGCAGCATGGGTGAGGTGTGTGGGAGAGTTGGCAGCATGGGTGATGTGTGTGGGAGAGTTGGCAGTATGGGTGAGGTGTGTGGGAGAGTTGGCAGTATGGGTGATGTGTGTGGGAGAGTTGGCAGTATGGGTGATGTGTGTGAGAGAGTTGGCAGCATGGGTGAGGTGTGTGGGAGAGTTGGCAGTATGGGTGATGTGTGTGGGAGAGTTGGCAGTATGGGTGATGTGTGTGGGAGAGTTGGCAGTATGGGTGATGTGTGTGGGAGAGTTGGCAGTATGGGTGATGTGTGTGAGAGAGTTGGCAGTATGGGTGATGTGTGTGAGAGAGTTGGCAGTATGGGTGAGGTGTGTGTGGGAGAGTTGGCAGCATGGGTGAGGTGTGTGGAAGAGTTGGCAGTATGGGTGATGTGTGTGGGAGAGTTGGCAGCATGGGTGATGTGTGTGTGGGAGAGTTGGCAGCATGGGTAAGGTGTGTGTGGGAGAGTTGGCAGCATGGGTAAGGTGTGTGTGGGGGAGTTGGCAGTATGGGTGATGTGTGTGGGAGAGTTGGCAGTATGGGTGATGTGTGTGTGGGAGAGTTGGCAGCATGGGTAAGGTGTGTGTGGGAGAGTTGGCAGCATGGGTGAGGTGTGTGGGAAAGCTGGCAGCATGGGTAAGGTGTGTGGGAAAGCTGGCAGCATGGGTGAGGTGTGTGGGAAAGCTGGCAGCATGGGTGAGGTGTGTGGGAAAGCTGGCAGCATGGGTGAGGTGTGTGGGAAAGCTGGCAGCATGGGTGAGGTGTGTGGGAAAGCTGGCAGCATGGGTGAGGTGTGTGGGAAAGCTGGCAGCATGGGTGAGGTGTGTGGGAAAGCTGGCAGCATGGGTGAGGTGTGTGGGAAAGCTGGCAGCATGGGTGAGGTGTGTGGGAAAGCTGGCAGCATGGGTAAGGTGTGTGGGAAAGTTGCAAGCAAGGGTGAGACTATAAAGTTCCCTCGCCTTCCCATCAACTTGTACTGTTCCTCTGGGCTCCTCTAGCCCTGTTGCCTCTTAGGAACACTGTATATGCTGTCACTGGGCTCCAGTAGTCACGTGTTTGATATTATCTTGTGGTTTGTTTACCTTCAGCAGGCTATGTTATTTCTTCCCATTGAACATTTTGATGGTTCAGTGTTTTGTTAGCCAACTCGTCATCAGACCAAGTCCATTCCATCCAGCGGTCGACCTCTAAAGACGAATTCATCAGTTTAAACATGCTGTTCATTCATTATAGGAATTATCTCTCAAATATAAATTAATATTGTTATATATTAGCATACCGTGATTATTTAGGCATTAGTTACGTTATGTGATTAGGTTCTGTTGGCGATTATTTGTATTTGTAGTTCGCGGGTGAAGCATTTACAGCGTTGTGGTTCGAACAAAAGTCGTCAACGAAGCACCTGTTCGGAAGTGTTCGGACGTCATCAGGTCTGAGGACGCAGCCCGTCCTCCAAAGATCCAAAAGTGATTCCATGCACCCGCCAAACCCCCTGTTTATGAATGAAAAGCGGTTTATACACGACTCACAACTGCTGACGTTCGAACATATCCGGAACAAGTGCTTCACTGACCAATTTTGTTCGAACCACAACGCTGTAAATGCTTCACTCACGTACTACAAATACAAATAATCGCCAACAGAACCTAAACACCTAACCTAACCTATCCTATGCCTATATATACACAATATGCTAATATATTATAATATTGATTTATACTTGCGAAAATTCCCGTTTGAATGAACAGCATGTTAAAATTTATGAATGCGTCTGTGGGGTTGACCGCTGGATGTAATGGACTTGAGTCGAGGACGGGTTGGGTTTGAGAACGGGTTGGGTTATGACAACTTGAAGTGTGTGTTCGGAATACTCAGCAAATCTCGAGCACAGTATAAGTTTGTGATATGAAAAAGCAATGCTTGGTTGAAAACACCACGAAGCTACGAGAGTAATAGTTGTTTGAAAACATCACGAAGCTTTCGATTTCAGAACGCCATAGCAAGCTCTCTGCACAGCTTGTTAGCTTCTAGTTCGGTGCTGCCGTAACTCCAAGCTGCGCATCGTCAAACAAGATCAATACATGTTCGTACATTTACAAGTGCAAGGATATATTAAGAGTGTTTTCTCGAGATGTTAACCAATGAGAACGATAGTGTGGCTAGCACGACTCTCTAGAGAAGTGGCTAGTGTCTTCGGATAGATGTGAAAGAAACCAAATAACGAAGAGGATCACCACTGGCGTCCCTCCGCGCCCCTTTCCCGCGCTAACCTCCTCGCCCCTTCCCGCGCTAACCCCAGAAACAGAGCGAGTCCGGAGGAATCCTCACGGCATCTTGTGTTTACATAGTTGTCTGAAGAGTCTGGTGTACCTCCCAGGTGTCTCGACTCAAGAGAGGGTTCTTGGCGTTGGATTCTCCGTCTTGCCGGATGCATTCTAAGGAGAAGTAGTGCCCTTCACCTACTCATAAGGTGAGCGTGAAAGAGATTCTATTGTTATTAAGCTGTTACAATTTCTAATGCACTGTCTCGTAGATTAAATTTTTTATATTTTACGGCATCGTTCGTGTATTATTTATATCATTTACGACGTTGATTTTGTAAAGGGATTATGTTTGGGAGTTAGCCGCAATTCAGCTATACAAACTTGAAGGTGATTTTAATAAATTAGGGAATTATTTAATCTGTGAATGATTTTTTTATGTTTTTTTGCATGTCGGATCATAAAGCTCAAGGGATTTATTTGTGATTGCGTGTGTTTTTCTTCATGTTTATTGGTATAGCGTGTTTGATATCTTTCGGGTTTATGCCCGAAACGCTTTGCGTAATAATAATAATAATAATAATTTTTATTTAGGCAAAGGTACATACATAAAGAGATTTTACAAAGTTTGTTGGCTTTAGAGATAAGAGCTAGTACATACAATGCCTAAAGCCACTATTACGCAAAGCGTTTCGGGCAGAAATAGTAATAGTGGCTTTAGGCATTGTATGTACTAGCTCTACCTGTAAGTCTACCAATCCTTGTAAAAATTTATTGTATGTATGTACCTTACCTAAATTGTATTGTATTGTATTGTATTGTATTGTATTGTATCTGGGAATCTGTGAGTGGTGTTTTAGGGAGGAGAGTGTGGTTGATGGGCTTTTTTTTTTTACAATATAAGTGTTGGGTCGTTGGTTTAATTTGACAGCTGTGAACTCCTCGTGATTTGTTTTTATAGTCTGTTACTGGTTTATGTGGCAGGTCAGCAGGTCAGCAGGTCAGCAGGTCAGCAGGTCAGCGTGGGAGATGGATTGGGCTTTGTTTTGTAAGGTAATTCTCTGCTTCTTGTTCCAGTAACAGTATTTTGCTCGTGTCTATGCTACTGGAAGTTACGTTTGGCTGGAGTGGGCTTTGTGTAGGTGTGCGTGTGGTGTGCGTGTGGTGTGCGTGTGGTGTGCGTGTGGTGTGCGTGTGGGTTGCGTGTGGTGTGCGTGTGGTGTGCGTGTGGTGTGCGTGTGGTGTGCGTGCGTGTGGTGTGCGTGTGGTTTGCGTGTGGGTTTGCGTGTGGGTTGCGTGTGGTGTGCGTGTGGTGTGCGTGTGGTGTGCGTGTGGTGTGCGTGTGGTGTGCGTGTGGGTTGCGTGTGGGTTGCGTGTGGGTTGCGTGTGGTGTGCGTGTGGTGTGCGTGTGGTGTGCGTGTGGTGTGCGTGTGGTGTGCGTGTGGTGTGCGTGTGGTGTGCGTGTGGGTTGCGTGTGGTGTGCGTGTGGTTTTGTCTTAAGAATTTATTCAGGAGTCGGTCCAGTGACTTTCATTATATTGCATTTGCAATGCCAATTGA